TTAGCGAGTAAAGGGAAGAAAAAAGGAAATGATGGTCACCACCAGTGCTGCTGCTGTTTTTTTCCTTTTCTTTGCTGCCAGTTTTAAATGGGCTATCCATCATTTCTTGTGGGTGTTCCACACTCTTCTTCTTTTTTCCTCTTTTTCTGGATGCGTTTTTTTTTTTTAGCACCGCCGTTGTGGGGCCATTGCTTTGCCAACATGCATACGGGGGTGGTGCTCCTTCCCATAGATGTGCCGTGAAAAATATTAACATATTTTCAAATGCGCCGTGTGCTTCTCTGTGTGCACGTGTAATGTGGGGCCTAGGCCTCACTCAGGCAGGGGCAATGACATCTTTGCACCGTTGCGAGGCGGCCGACGGTGCGGTGCACTAGCAAAATAAACTGTGCGTTCCATATCACACAGACTATTCGCTGCTGTGGGAATCGAACACTTGTTTTTTGGTGAAACTACCATGGCTTATCCACTGGGTGCGATGCGTTGATTCGGCAAAGGGAACAGAAGGACGTCCTCTATGAGGTGTGCCTGTGGAGGGAGAAGTGAACTGCTACCTTGGTGACCATAAAATATTGGTATTTATCTGAAGCGAGGGGGCGCATCGCTGTGCATGACGAGACTTCATTCATACGGACGTGAGGCGGCGGGTAGAGGAGGCCAACGGGCATGAGCAATACGAGAGCGATGCCATTGTTGCCTGTTGAGATGATTTGGGCAGTGATGATGATAACGATGCGGGCGAACACTCTCAGGTAGAAACGCTCTTCTCGATGTCAAGGTATTAAAGTTGCACGGTAATGTGTCGCAGGTTGACCGGACCTCTTTTTGTGGGTTTTTCCGACACGTCGGTGGAGCTGCTCGGCGTTCTCCAAAAGGGTGTTCTGTTCTGCACAGGTGTGGCTGCCCGAGGATTGTATCCGCCACGGGCGGACTGAAGTGTGCACGACGATCCTCCGACAGATCCAGCGTGTTGTATTCACCGCACTGGACGGTCAATCCCGCATTGGCAACGTTGGGGACTCTCTGCTGTTTCTCATGTCACACGAGGCAGGATGCATCCCATGCGTGAGGACCCTTTATCGCCAAAGAGAGAGGGATCAGTGGCTCCTTACGGGAAATGAGGCGGGAGCAGCAGCAAATGGAAGAATGACAATACGACTCTTCTCTTTCCACCACCTGACGACGTTGGACCCAAAAGGCGGACCACATGTGAATGCAGAACACGACGCACTTACGTGTGCACTGTTATTCGACTTGTCGTGAAGCGGGATGGAGCCGTCAACGACTCACCTGGCGGAGATGCGAGCTGGAACGATGACCTCGCCAGAATTGCACCGTGTGTGCTCCCATCGTACATGCGGGCACACGCAGGGCACTTCACAGAGCCTATAAACCGTTTTTTAAATTTGTGTATGCTCACATTGGTCACGTCGCACACGGTTTCCTTTTTGGCAAGAGACCCGGTGATGTTTGGGCACAACTGCGGAGCTTTATTGGGGAGGACGCGAAGACCGCGAGAGAGGCGTCTTCTCTCGACACACAGGAGGGAGGAAGAGGGTGTGAGGGCTTTCGAGGCTGGATGCGACTGCAGTTAGAGGCACTTCACGATGATTGGCCGCGAAGCGTGATTGTGCGGAAGCAGCGCAGTGTGACGCGTAGTACTGCTGGGCGGGGAATTGAACGGAGGCTGGCACGGAGTGAAGAGAGGAGTGACACACTCACGAAGCAAGAGGCCAATGATGCAGTGATGTTGGTGAAGTGTTTTCCATGGGATGAGCTGAGATGCTTCTCCCATGGCGCTTAGCTGTGCCCGCGCCAGCCCGTGTTTTCTATCTTTTTGGCTCCACAGAGTGTCCAGGCTTTTGGTTCTTGCTTGCTTGGGACTCCTCCACCATGGGAGTCACGACGAACTATCGGGATGCCAAACCCACGGTAATCGTGGAATTCAGGGTGGCCAATCTGGATCAGTGAGCGGAGACCTGCAGCACCTCATTCTGCGGCGAGTACCTCACGCACTGTCACGGGTATCGGCACCTGTGTGTGTCTGCCCCATGACCGGCATTTGTATGGCGCACGCACTTTGCAAGGTGAGGGAAAGGGCGGGAATTCCCACGGGCACGTGTCTGCAGTCATAATGCGTAAATTGTGGACTTGTTTGTGCGGCAAGGCAGCATAGACTGGGAGTACACTTTCTAGCGGCGCGTGTTTGGTGACTACCGAGGCGAATGCCCCCAAAGGGACGTATGTGGGTGAAGCAGATGCACTGGATATGCGCAATGCCATGCTTCGTGACAGGGAGCGAGGCGGGAGTAGCGTGATTCCTCCTGCCATGGACCTATCAACTTTTGAGGAGTTGGGGTGAGGCCAAGGGGACAAGCGTGTGTGTCTTCACCTTCTTGCGGGAGGACGCGCAGAGGTTGTTTTTCTTTTGTTTTCTTTTTGTTGTCACGGTGCCTGCGGTGACGTTAATGGGGGGGTTTGTTCTCCAGAGGCATTCATTGTGCGATTTGTGCGTGTTCGGTGTCCAACGCTTTCATCACCACCAAATGGGGTGTTGCGCAGGATCGGAGTACATGGATGTGCGAGGGCATTGTGTCGCTCACCCGTAATAACACACGCACACAGTTTCAGCGCGTCTGATACGTCACGTTCTTCGGAACGATCGAAATCACTTGTGGGACATCACTTCATTTGCGGCGTCGGGACAGCGAGGGAAAATGGAGAGATATGCCGAGAACGCAATGCCACTCTATGATGCCGCAGGCTGGCGGCGACAAGGATCAGAGAGCTTCTACTCAACATTGAGAAGACGGCAGCACTCTGATGATCCGGTTTGCTCTGTAGGAACTCCTAATGTAGTGTACACCGTGTGGACCTTTTTGCTGCGGATATGCAGAGGGGTGATGTGGGGTGGAATTATTGTTGAAGGCAGCACGGACGCCGCCTGACCTTTATGGGAGGGATGAGTGCTGTTATTTCGTGCTTCCTGGCCTGCGTTGTCGCACTCATGCTGTGAGTACGGATGGCCACAGTAGTGGAGTTGAATACGGTTCAATGTGTGTTGCTCACGGGGACTGCGCGACACATGTTTTTTGTTGGGCTTCCCAAAGGAGGGGCGCATCGCCGTTGCGTGCTTCCCGCGGCAGTCCATTACCCTACGACTGTGCGTGCCGCCGTCCGCTGCGCCACTGCAAGCCTTTGCCATTTGTGAGAAACGGGGAGCGTGACTGCTGTGGCGGTGGTCGAACTTTCCCGAATTGGTGCTTTTGGTGATTCCACTTAGAGCGCCGAGCAGCGAGGGGCCGCACACGCCCAGGAGGTGGGAGTGTGTGCTACAGCCGCACCTGCGATTTGCAGTTGGGATGTGGCATGTTTCTTTGGTCTTTTTATTTTTGGTGATATGCGGGGCAGCGGTGTGTTGGCGTGTGCGGGCTGCTCATGGTTGCCGGTGTTGCCTTTCCTGCTGTTCTCCCGCTCCAGTCCTTTGCGTGCGACGGAACAAACGTTTTTACGGGCGTGTGGTGGGGCCGCGTTCTTGTTTGGAAAAAAAGCCTTTCGCAGGCATAATGATACTGCAGCCCTCCGTGCCACACAAGGCAGTGGGGAAGATCCTGGGATTTATTGGCGGGGTGGCACCGCACCCATGCCGTGTGGTCGATTTGTATTCCGCAATGCACGGTGATGGGGATGTGCGGTGACAACTTCCTCCAGTGGAGCGACACGAGCAGCACGGGGAGTGGAACGGAGGAGTGGTGGCTGCGTTCTTCCAAGTGATACGTGAATGGCGAATGCAATATGAAAGGCAGCGTCACGGCACTCTTTTGCCATGCACACCGCAGATATTTTCCATAAAGCATGCAAGCTGCACTCTTTTCTGTTGTGTGGGGGATTACCGTGATGCATCGCTGTTGTGGTGTGTATGATTTGGGGTTCTTGCGTGTGGCTGTTACTGCACCGAATACTCCTCCCACTTTTGTTTGTGTGTGTTTCTGTGTGTCAGCGTTTATGTGCCCACGTCCTCTTGCAGAGTGTGTGCGGTGACGGCGGTGCCACACGGGTGCGGGACCGTAGCGAACGGGGTGCGTGAGCGAACCCTCCGTGCACACCACGTTGTTGTTGTTTGCTCTCACCAACACTGTGCTGGGTGGATGAAATCCACTCGCCGTCGTTGCGGCGGTCCTCGTGCATGTGGTGTGCATCGAATACTGCGCCGTCACACTGTGTGGGTGAGTCGCTTGTTGTGGCCTCGATTCATGACTGTGCCTATTGTCTTTCTTTTTCTCATTCTCCACGTTGGGTGGCTATTGTTTAGATCTAACTCAAACTAACTAAGAAAGCAAGGAGAAACAATGTCTGGAAGGCCCGAGGAAGGACTTTACGGCAATTTGGAGAGTCAATCGTCCAATGTCTCGCAGGGAGGTCGGAGGAGAGCGAGGTCGGAATTTGAGGGTGACACAGATTACTCCTCTACGACTCGCAGAAGATTGGAGGGAATGTATCGACCGCAGTGGACCATGAGCAGCAGCGTAGAGGACATCCTGCTGGGTGGAACCACTAACAGGACCGACATGAAGCTGAATGATTTCCTTCGGAGCAACTTGGGCGAGGAGTGGGTTGTGAAAAGAAATGGGAACGCCACGATGGGGATTTTTGTTCAGAATCCCGAGACGTTTATCAAAAAGAAAGGGTTATTACACACAATAAAGGCATCGCCGTCATACCCAGAGCTGGAAAGAGAGCTGGAGGAAAGGAAAAAACTATTGGAGGCTATTTATAAACTTCACCACGAGGGTGTGTACTCTCTCGAGCAATGGAGGGACCATGAAGGAAAGGATACGGTCGCTCCACTTGCAAGGGAAAAACTAAACAGAGCACTCACTCAGGTACTGAGAGAAGAATGGTGGGAGGCAGGAGAAAAGGCAAGGCGGGACCAGCAACAAATAATATTTAACTTATCTGCTAAGATCGAAGATTTGCTGTTTGGAGGAAGAGTTCGCGTCATGGACATGAAGCTGAATGATTTTCTTGCGATGGAATTTGACGGCAGAGGCATTTTGCGCGCCAATCGGAATGTCTTACTGAGGGATTTTTTCAAGGATCCCACGAGTCATATCCGCGATGCGGGAGTATTGAATGAAATACGGGCAACAGGTGCTTATGCGAGGATGGAGGGGACTGTAAGGGATGAAACGGGTTTGGAAGAAGCTGTACGCAGGCTTCACCACGAGGGTGTGGTCTCTCTCGAGCAATGGAGGGACCATGAAGGAAAGGATACGGTCGCTCCACTTGCAAAGGGAAAGCTAAACGCAGCCTTCACTGAGGTACTGAGAAAAGAAAAAGCAAGGCGTGAGGAAGAAGAAAGGGCAAGGCGTGAGGAAGAAGAAAGGGCAAGGCGGGACCAGCAACAAATCAACTTTAACTTAAGTCTCAGCAATGAAGACGCAATTTTTCAAGGAAGAGCTCGCTTCTATAAAAAGAAGATGAATGATTTTCTTACGCTGGAATTGGACGGCAGAGGCGTCGCAGACACCAATCGGAGAGTTTTGCTGAAGGAGTTTTTTAAGGAACCCGCGAGGTATATCCATGATGCGGGAGTATTGAACGAAATAAAGAAAACAGATGCTTATTTGAGGGCCGAGAGGGCTGTGCGGGAGGAAATGGATATGGAAAAAGATATAAAGGAGCTCGAATATAATCATTTAAGCACTCTACGTGGGTGGTCAATAGCTTCTGCGGAGATAAAAGCAAGTGTTCATGACATCACCAAAAGTTTTTTGGATGCAGCCCTTGAGGAGGCGAAGAAACCAACGACGACGATTGCACCGATAGAAATGGAGGGATTGTACGAGTCTGTGTACAATGCGAGTTGGCATCATGTCGTGGAAGTCCCTGGCGGCGAGGGGACGGGAATGGAGGTGAGGGAGGGGAAACCACCGCAGTCATGGACGTACAAGGCAGTTAGCCGAACCCTCGAAAAGGATGACGGTGTAGAGCAATCCGGTGCACCGCGTCTCAGGCTGATGGTGCTTACCTCGGACGATGAATGGCCATACACGTGGAAAAATGATGGAAGGAATATTAGTGACTGCTATGTGGACTGTGAGGTGGAGCGAGTGTGGCAAACCGTCAAGGGCAATCTAACCGGATTGTTCAGCGCCTACGAAGGGACCGACTATATCCCCAAGCAGCATGTGTTGATTGGGACGCCCGGGATCGGGAAGTCGATGGGTGCCGGCTCGTACCTCCTCTACCAGCTTCTGCACTACGATGCGGAGAAGCTCCCAATGGTTGCGTACGTTATTGCGGATAGAAAATTCCTGTTTGACAAGACCGCCAAAACCGTGAAAAAATACGGTGAGGCGTCTAGTATCGTGGATATTTTGGACGAGTTTTCTGATCGTGGGGTGGAGGGGTATATTATCTACGACGTGGCAAAACCGGGTCATGAACCGCCTGATAGTTTGCCTTGCAAGGGATGGGGCATGATTGTGGTGACATCACCGAACGAGGGCAACTTCATAGAATGGGAGAAACAAAAAGGATCCGTACGAATCGTAATGAATTGTCCTGCGAAAGAAGATGTAAAGGCGATGTGCGTTTGTATGAATCGCAATGAGCCAACTGTGCAAGCGGGATACTGGAAAAAGGTGGAAGATCGAATGGATAAAGTGGGACCGCTTCTTCGCTACATCTTTGATTGGGGCACATACAAAGATCGGATTGACTCGTGCGAAAGTACAGTTAATAAAATGGTCTTGCCGGATACCAACTATTACTTTTTGGGGACTGATAAAATGTGTGAAGGTAACCACGTTTCTCACAAACTTGTAAAGGTCGTACGAGTACGAGGAGAAGATGATTCCGAAATGCCTTACAATGCACTGGTATCTTCCCACCTTGCAGAATTAACGTTATGCAAGTTGGCGGAGTTAATGGCACCGAATGATTTTATTTTACTCGTATTGGCCATCAAGGACGACCTCATATCAAAAGCCCTTGAAGATCATTCCTTGTTTGCATTTTTAAGTGAGGCCTTTGTAAATGCAATAATAACGAAATTCAGGGAGCTGAAACTAGAAAAAGGTGCTCCACCACACCGCTGTGCGTTGAGAGTGCATCCACATGAGTGCCCTCTCAAGCCCTGTATTTTACCGTTAATGGAAAAATTTAAAAAGAAGATCAATATAGAGTATCGGGTGCTGTACAAACCGGTGGCTCAAAACTTTCCGTTGGTGGACGCCTTTTTCTTTGTGAAGTCAAATCCAATGACGCTG